AGCATTTGAGGTCAGCATCCCTCAGTGGCGGTGGCATGAGCAGCGCAAACGCGTGTTGAGCGTGTCAGTGCTCGGTGGGCGCATGTGCGGGGCTGGGGCTGGGCACAGGCAAGGTACAGCTGTGCTCTGGCAGTGGGATGCTGCTGCCCTGTCTGGGGCCTGGGAACAGTCTGTGCTCTGCTCACCCTTCGCATCTGTGTTGGCCCCAGGCTCCCTGCAGATCCTGGCCTTTCCCCTGATCAGCCCGCGAGCCCTGAAGCTTTGACAAACATTTTCCCTTTCAGAAAAGCTAATTATCATGGCAGCCCCAGCATCACCCCTGACTGGTGCTGCCAAGTCAGCCCCCAACCCACTGCTCGTGGTGTCCTGAGTATTTTGGGAAGTGTTTGGAGGGCAGGAGGAGCTGGGCTTCAGGGTGGGATGGGGTGATGGTGCAGCTGGTGCCAGGGTTAGGGCTGTCCCCGGGGGCCAGCTGGGTGTCCCTGGGGGCCATTTGGCTCACGAAGCCCTCCTCTGGCTGGTGTGTGCTGGTCCCTGTGCCGTGTCTGTGATGCCGGGTGATGGGTGGGCAGAAGGGAGGCAAAGCTGCGAGTAGTGTGGACCACGAGCATGACGGGGACGTGGCTGCTGTGGGACCCTGGCAGAGGCCTGGCATGGGTCCCCTCGGTTCCCCGTCCCCTCCTGTCTTTTGGGGGACGCTGCCAGCATGTGGCATGTCTGTGGGCAGGGAAGGGCCATCTGGCTGGCGCCAGCTGCACTCTCACAGCTCCTTCTCCGGCAGGCGCTGATGCTGGCGGATGGGGACGGCGCTGGGTTCCTCTACCGCCAGTTGCCTTTCCTGGCATCCCTGGAGAGGAAGGATGGGAAAGCCACTGCTTATCTCTGCAGCAACTTCACCTGCTCCCTGCCCGTCACCTCGCCCCAGGAGCTGTGCGGGATGCTCTGCCTGTGAGCCCCGCAGACTGCGAGGGACAGACAGTCCAACACACCAACCTGGGAACATGGGAGAGACCCCTTAATAAAGCCACCCTGGGCATCAGCTGCCTCCTGGATGGTTCTTAGCAATGCAGGGGCTGTGCCCTTGCCTGCCTGCACTGCTGCTCTGGCAGCATCTCAGCAGAACCGGCTCTGGTCCCTGGTGCTGGTTTTGGCATGGCCAGGAGGCACCCACTGAGCAGCATCTCCTTCCCCTGCACGTGCGCTCGCTCCTCGCCTCTTCCCGCAGAGGAAAAGGAAAATACATTAAACATAAATCCCAGCGTTAATGGAGAAGTCAGATGGGAAACTACTAGAGTTCCTATAGCAACCCGGGGTAACGGCAAAAGCACCTGGATGACTTGGGAGTCAAGTGCTGTTGAAAGCGTTACTGGTTTTGACGGCCCCGGTGTTTTTCCATTACAAGGTAGATTGTAACATACATTAAGTTAATATATAGTGCGTGCAGAAAACCTGCTGGTTACCACAACTGATGGAAAGGTGCCACAGAACCCAGCCAAGGCACTTCCAAACAGCTACACGTCTCATCCCGGCTTTGCCAAGGGTGCAGAGACCTGGCACAGCTCGAGAAAGCGCTTCTCCAAGTCCTGTTTGTGTGTAAAAGGCCGGGCAGCCAGTGCCAGGATGGGGCTCATGAGGCTGCACCCGTTCCCTTGGCACCCCTGGCGAGGTGGGAACCTTCCCGGGGCGGGGGTGGCTGGAGGGGGCTGGGGATATGGGGAGCAAGGGGGCTGGTGTGCCCCACTGCTGCCCCAGGATATTGAGCGTCACTGCGGGTGGGTGCCCCCACCCAGCACCCCCAGCTGGGTGTCCCCAGGTGGGAGATGTCTCACTGGTGCCTCGGTTGAGGCATTGCTCTGACATCCCAGGGGTTCCCCTGCATGGCAGCCTGCACCCCGGCTGGGGGGATGCCATCAGCTGGCAGCAAAGCAGAGCTGAGCTGTGCTGCCTGCCGGCTTTCCAGTGGGTTGTGCCAGGATTCGGGGCTAAGGGGCCAGGAGAAACGCCTTTGAAGTCGAAGAAGAATTTTGCACCTCATTCGTGAATGCTTTCTATGCTGGTGGAAGAGGAGGGGGGTTTATTTTCTCTCCTTTCTTGGTTTTGAAAGCTCAAGTGTTTCTGGAAATCCAGCTGAAAATTGCTGGTTTGGCAGATGGCTGGCTGCTTTCCTCTTTTTTTTTTTGTATTTTTTTCAACTTGGCATCACTGCTGTGGGGATTGGTTCAACACCCGTCCTCACAGGTGCTCGGAGTGGGTGGGTGCTGTGTCCATGCCAGGAGAGCATTCCTGGCAAGCGGGGCCGGTGCTGAGCACCCCGCGGGGAAGCCCGG